AAAGAGTAAAAACAGACAAAAATAGACTGTTTAGTTCAAATAGACTTAACTAAATAACTCTCCTTCAGAGTTGGTTTTAGTTGGAGCATCAGCAGCACTAGAAGTAGAAATAGCCAACGTGCTAGTAGTAGTAGTAGCAGCAAGATGAGTAAGTAAATAATGCATACAAAATATGCAATACACATAAAACATACAAAATTTAAAAACTACTAGTAGTAGGAGATGTAAACGTATTAGTAATCAAAGTAATAGTTGCAGCAAACCAAGTAGCAGCAGCAGTATAGAGGAACTCGTTGTAGTTTCAGCACTAGTAGCAGCAGCAGTTGAAACCAGAGTGGCCCTGGAATGAACCAGGCCTGGCAGGATAGTTGTTGTCCTGACATTGACCCAAAGTGCTAGAATCAAAACCACCAGACCCTAAGATGAACATAACAAGGATTGATAAGGAAGCCACGAAGTTCAATGAATTATTACAGAGAGGATAAATATAAAGTCTTTACTACACCATGAAAGAGATTATCAGATGGACAGGTCTCTAGGAATTACACAAGCCTGCAGGACTTCAGGGACTGCTTTTCTAAACTTGCCTTATGTAGCATTTTAAGTGCTGCATGTGTATTCTCTCATTCCCTGTGCATTATATAAGTGGCGAGCTGTGCTGGAGATTGGTGTTTGAAGTCTGGACCCAGGCCCCAGCTCAGCAGTAAAGGGACTCCCCCTGCCTTTCTCGGGCTGTATAAATGACAGCTAGTGAAACCTAAAGCCGCCAACCCTTCATAAAAAGGCTGGACTATCTCTGCCGCTCTCTCAGTTAATCAAATCCGCTGTGATTGTCATGTGCGTGTTTTTAAAGACACAAAAGGGAAATTGTAACTTGACCCCTGCCTCTTGACTAGAGTATGTTTACAGTCATGCTCCACGATGTGCAGAAAGGCAACGTTGGTCATCTTCATCATCATCGCCCCTTGTCTCATGCTTCACCATATTTCAGATCTTCAAAGCCAGAAGAAGACAACAAATCAAATGTCTTGTGAGCGTAAGGCTATAATAACAGCAACAAGGCATGACACCAGGGAGTAGGGAAGTTGAAACAATGGGGCGACCATATGGGATGTTTTTGGGGAGATGATGGAACTATTTAAGTAGCAAAAGAACATTTGGAAACAAGAGTGAGCGACAGGGGAGCCACTACAAAATAAGTAATATGTGGATTGCCATCATTTATTTATGTCGCCTCATGGAGTGACTATACTCCTGTGTTCTCACAGCACTTTAAGGAAAAACAAAAACATTTTCACCACGTGAAATTTACATTTTAAGTTAGCTGTTAAAGTACAGGTGCTCTGTTTTTGTAATAAAGTTATGATTTGTTTTAGATGCTTTTGAAGATATATCAAGAGCATTGATATTACTGCGCAGAAAAATAAATCAACTAATATAAACACTTAAACAAATGAAAGGATTTTTGGTGTTTGTTCAATTATATTAATTAAAATATATTTGATACAAATAAAAAACCGTTTCAGATTAATTTAATATAGTTTAGACAACAAAGTTAAGATTTTAAAAAGTTAACAAAAGTTAAATCTAAGATTTTTGCAGAAATTTTTAATTGTTGGAGCTGTGCTTTTTGTACAATTGCAGGGTTGTTGTGGAATTATTGTGTAATGTAATAAAAAAATTGTAAAAAAAAAATAAAATAAAAAGGAGCCTGGGTTGTTCTAAAAAGTTACTAGAGCATATTGTAAAGTAGAAAAAAAATTCTCAAAAGGGCTAGAAAATTAAGAAAAAGAAAATCAAGAGTAATTGAAGTCCATTGAGACTGGCATAAAGTTTAATAGAAAAAAGTAAAATACCTGACATCTTTCCATAGTTAACCTTTGTGTGTAAAAAAAAGGGCAGACATTGGAGCTGAACATCTAGATTAAATTTTACACTTATAATTTTTTACATCTTTAAAACTTTCAGAACTTTTTATGGTAATACATTCCACATTTTTATTCATAGATTTAACTATGTAAACAAACGAGAGACTTTTGTCCATGCATCCATTCAAAGAAAAGAATTTCAAGATTCTGGCTCTTTATAACGAAAACATTGAGTACAAGAATATTTTCACAAAAATAAAATGCCTGTATAAGTGTGATATTCCACCTTGGGGGGTTCATGCAAATGATGTACCACCTTTAAGGTCAGGCAATAGTTACTTCTGCTTCTGAGAAGTTGGCAACACAGTGTTCACAAAATAGACCCCAAAAATGCAAAAATTCCGGATTTGCAGTAGTTTGCAGAGTTCCGCTGAACCTAAACGGAGACATGCTCAGCGGTGCTGGGTCTCTTCCTTATTTGTTGAATTGTTTCTACCCACCAGGACAAAGGACTGAAATTGTACGTTTAATAGCCAATATAACAGGGAAAATCACACAATGTTTACATCCAGGGTATCCTGGGCCTTGACGTAAACTCAAAATGTCAAGTACAAAGTATTTATTTGGGAAAGTAGGCTTGACTTTAAAGTTGTGGATTGTGGAATTTCTGAAAAAGCTTGTATATCTGTGACCCGAGCTGACCCTGTAAACAAATGTGGTAGCCAATCAGCGGAAAGGAGCGTGGTTTTAGCTAAGCGGAGCAGGAGGCTCAGATAGAAAAGCTCAAAACTCAAGAGAACACAACAAACCGAAGAGACAAAAAGAAGCGTATGATAAAATCAAACTCGGGTAAACCTGGGATCGACTTTTCTGCGCTTGACACAGTATATATGAGACGGGGCCATCAGAATTGTGAATAGACTCTACTGGTCGGGGGGCATGTTTGTTTTCCTGATTTAAAACATCAAAAAGAACTCCCATATATCGAACACCGCACCTTTAAGCATTTACCCAATTTACCCAACTTTTTTTTATTTTTTTACAGTGCATTCCCTACACTGCTGTGCAAGTAAGCTGCTTACGTAGTATTTTAGAAAGTTCTAGACACGCTGGAAACCTGGAGGGAAAACTCCATATGTGTACTGGCCATTCGATATGGCCCAGAGGTGTCCTCGAGTTGCATCAAGTCCAAAAGCTTAAATGAGGATTGACAGCTTTACCTCAGCAAACATCATCTAAGGATTGATAAATCTCTGGCTTTTTGGGGGAAAAAAACTGTTGCAATTAGTTTTTAGATTTTAAGCTTATTCACACACAGAAGAGATGGCTGCTTTCTTTGCTTACAGGAATCCAACACTCTATAAACTTGTTTTATGGCTCAGACGTGTTGTTCATAGCCGGCCTGAGTTTGTTTTATTATTATGCCTTAAAAGATGTTTGTTTGGCCCAACATGGCTGCAGGTAATAGTTTCCATTTGAGACAGCATGAAGCTGTCTTGAGATAACAAACACAGGTTTTTCTTTACTCTCATCACAAAACCAAGAGAAGACATACGGGTTTCATCTATCACACACTGGAATTGTGCAATTACACCACTGTTGTCATTTGAAACTGATACGCAAGGGAGGCACACAGAAAGCTAACGCTAACCCCACAGAGAACATAACGATAACCTGCTATTTCTCATGACTTTTATTTTGCTCCCGCTCTGCAGGTCAGAGATTTGCATGTGTGACTTGTTAGGCTCTCTGCGAATGTGTGTGAGAAAATGTGAACGAAATTCGACCGTATTACTGCACTGGGGAGCTATGCACTTTATCACCTCAGTCAGACTCAGTACATTTGATTTTGGTTCCACTCAATTTAAATTGACGTGAATTGTGCTATAAAGAAGCGGGGAAATGTAACTCTCGATTTCTCTTTGAATGATCTCATCGAGTCAGACAGAGCTCTTGATATGAGAAAACCACAAGTGAATGGAGCATATGTGCTCTGTGTAAATGTGCGTTCTCACAGGCCTTGCACGTCTAACAAGCAGATTTCTCCCTGATACGGCAGACTCATGTGTTTACTCAAGCCTCTGACCTTCTCGCCGTGACACTTTCACTGCTGAAACAAACACCATCGGCTTGCTAAATCATCATGCCCCAATCGGGTAACTCAAGATGCATCACCCTACTTTTTCCCCATTGGCTGTATCATGTCACATGCCTAGCGCTCTAGCCAACCACTTCGGCGAAGCATTACCGCAGGGGGATATTTTTATTTGTTGAGAAGGCATCTGTGAAAAACTGGAGGGGCGGGGAACGTGTTGGGCAATTGCTTTCCATGCTGAAACTAGATATCATCGCTTACGTTAATATGTCCAAAAGGACTGTAATTATGAGGTGATAATACGTGCTGATCAAGTAGCTTGTTGCCAGTGAGTGGGAAGCCCCCCCTGTTCCTAGAGCCAGGAGCCTGGACACAGTGATGCAATGTGACAGGGTGCATGGGATTGCAGTGTTTTGTGTTCCTGCGGGTCCACGAATAAAACACCAGTGGTTACTTGCTTTGAAAACATGGGACTCCCGTGGTAGTCTGCTTCTGTTATGGCATGTTAGGAGCGGTTCTCTTGATCCAACAAATGCATCTGGAAGAAATCTTCCTCAGTGTCCCTTTATCTGCAATAACCCGCCACAAATCAGATGATCGCATTTGTTTTTGTGAAATATCTAATGATTTCATACCTCATCCAAGGCATTAAACTAATTCACACTCTTCAGCAGTATGAGGGATACTTTTTCTTCCCCGCATTGCTTGAAGTACACCCACCCTAAGTAGTTTGTCCTTTAACTGCGCTCTCCTGGCAAACTAGCTACCACAGGTGTCCGAGATTGTTGTCAGTGATCAAAATAGCCCAGAGATCAATGGAATTTCTTTATAACTGCATTTTACGAGTAATAAAACCATTAGGGATATCTCTAATTTGACTACTAAGGTCAACAAACAAAATATTGGGGGCAATATTGGCAACAGATGTCTAGTCTAAATACATGAACAGGACTCCAAATTATTATGCAACTAATTTTTTCTTCATTTTGTTAAAGAATTGATGAGTAAATTTTAAATTTTATTGAAGAGACCTTAGCTTTCCTGTAACTCAGTCAGTAGAGCTTTGCACTGGCAAAGCAAACGTTCTGGGTTCAAAACCCAAGGGAAAAATGTGTCATATCCCTGAATTCTTATACTGGATTTAAGCGTATGACAAATGCATAAATCAAAATTAATTATAAAAAAAAGTAAAATGCACTTTTCCAGACTTCTACGCAGCTTAAATTTCAAAACACTGTCAATTATTGTGTTTACTGCATATTTACTAAAATCAAAACCCATTTCTAACAAACTTTGAACAGCATTTGAACTTATTAAACACTTTAACACATCACATTACATTTTCACATAAGACTCTTATTTGATAGCAGCTTCACAAGCCCTGTATCCTTTAAAATTGTAAGTTTGGACAATTGCTGCTTTGGTTTGCTCTCTATTTGGTTTTACACTGCCTTCCACTATCGTGAACTTGGCAGAATGTCTCTCCTCGTGTGTTCTCTAATTTAGCCACAAATCTGATGATCATACTTAAGTTTTTGTGAAATATCTAATGTTTTCATACTTCGTCTAAGGCATTGAACTAATTTACACTGTTTAGCAGTGGAGAGATACTTTTTTCTTCCCCATATTGCTTGAGTTACACCCACCCTTAGAAGATTGTCCTTTATTGAGCTCTCATTTGAACTTTTTACCACATCACATTGCATTTTAACGCGAGACAATAATTTGTATCCATTAAACTTGTAAGTTTGGACATTTTCTGCTTACATTGTTTTGCAAGACGTGAGAAAAGCCCCCTAGAGCTTTTGTTTGGATGTACTGCCTAGAATAGATGCTTTGCTTGAGGATGCTCCAAAGGTTCTTAATAGGATTGAGGTCTGGGGAGGATGAAGGCCACATCATGACTTTTTCTCCTTTTATATCTACTTTGCAGAGGTCATCTTTACACCTCCAGGGACCATAAAGGGGCTCCCTTCCCAAAAATCTGGTCTAAACATGTTGGAACAGGGTGGCCATCCACCTAACATCTACTACTCCATCCATCTGGACCATCCAGGTTTGAACTGCACTCATCGGTGAACAGCACTGTTTGAAAAGTATGTATTTGGTGTATTTTTCTGTCCTAGTGAGTCATTTCTGCTGGTGAGCATTGGTTATGGTGGCTGAAAACTCTGGAGAACTCTACAGCATGATGTTCATGGTACTCCCAAGGCAGCTTCATGTATCTGTTTGGTTCTGTGTAATGGAATGCTGACAGCTGTTCTCTTGACCCAATGCATGAATCTGTCAGAAATATGTGCCTTTATCTGCACTTACCTGTCTGTTCTCTAAATCAATCACACATCTGATGATCACACTTATGTTTTTGTGAAATATCTAATGTTTTCATACCTCACCCAAGGCATTAAAAATTCTTTCCAGCAGAGAGATTGCATGAAAATGGTGCTCTGCTTAATAATTTAGAAAACCCACCTTTAGTAGTTTGTCCTTTAATTGGGCTCCCCTCGCAATCTAGTTATCACAGGCGTCCGAGATTATTTACAGTGATCAAAACAAATGAGATTTCTTTGAAATTACAGTCAACTCATTTTTACTAGTAATCAATCAATTAGAGATTTCTCTAAAGTGTGCCTAGTCTAATTATAATTACAGATACGTACAAATCTTATGTTTTTAGTCACAGGAAGCTGAGCGTTTATGTAGAAGGTTGGATCAAGTGCATTTGCTTTGCACGTAAAACACAATACTTACTGATCTTGTACCTGACAATCAACCCAAAGTATAAAAATGAAAACTAATACTAATACATGCTGAACAATACAAAACAAAGTTAAACAAACAAAAAAACTAACTAGAGCTAAATTATAAGGAAAAATCCCAAACCATTGACGAAATAATACAGACATTCCCAGCTTTGGCCTTGATCAAGCTTTAAAAATGCTCAATCTAATTTTATAGCAGGATCATAACTTATTACAACATGATTATGGTGTTAGTGGTGCCTATTACTGTTTTTTGTGTGTTAAAGATCTTGGGAAGTGGAATAAGGAGTTGAATAAGGAGACTTATTTGCTGCAAAGAATCTTGAAGGATGCAAAGAAGGATTTGGGGAAGAAAGCGTGTACCTTATAAGGTATTTAATGATTAAATAAACTCTACAAAATACAGGGATCCACCTCCACTCTTTCAATATGTTATGGTTTACCATATGTGTAAATTACGAACCTTGCTTTCTCACCATCAGGAGGACCGAAAACATTCCGCTAAGCAGAGTAGTATCTCTATCATCAAGCGGTTATAACAGCGATCCTTATCAGGCTTGTGAACCAAATCGGGTCAGAAGGCAAAAGCAGTTTCAGGGCATAGGCTGGATATTGAATATCTGAAAGTGGCCTTTGGAGTCATGAGTTCAGGCAGAGGTCAAGGGTCATGATCAGGGACACCCTGCGGGACATTACTTTATCAGCTCTGTTACAGAACGGCAGACAGAAGCCGAGGACTGAGAGTTAGGTTCGTAATTATTTCTGACATTTTTTTCATACCCAACAGTTTGACGGTAATAAAGAACAGTTTGGAAATCTACTGAGCCTATTTTCTTCTCACCATCTCACATTCACACTCATTTCCTTTTCATGTTTAGGGATTCCTGCCTGGAACTTTTAATGCACAGAGAAATATAAAGCCATGCGTTCATAATACATTTAATCTTTTTTTGTTCTTCAATAAATTGGTATTTTGGGAAAAAACTAGATGTGAAGCAAGCCAAAATGCAAAGAAATGAGTGATCACTGGGCATTCTCAAAAGATCTAAATAGGTATTATTCCTAATTATTTCATTACACCAAATATAGTCCACAATAAATTAGAAAACAATCAAACAATCAAAAAAAACATATTTGGGTGAAGACAATGATTCGCTGAAATCAGGAGAGAAGGAGACAGTGGAGATTCAAGAGAAAAAACAAGTATTCCATGGAGGGTCTAGAACAATGTCATATAGAAGATTACTGGCCGCTGTTTACAAATACCGGGGTCAATGAGGAGTGTCCAGGTGAAACATAGACATAATTGTAACACTCACAAATAGTTGGGTGAATTGAGATTTGCTCGAATCTTCGTGTACCTTCTGAACGGGGTGCTCTTCATCTGCGTCGAGGAAATAATAATCTAATGGTTTCTCTTTGAAATGAAATAAACTCCTCTCAAGTAAAAGGTAGAGGGCTCACTGTTGGTGCAATTGATAAATTTTGATGATTCCCCAGCTCGGTCTGTTTGTTTTCACTGTAAGAAAATATGTAAGTTGTTTATAGCTCTGGTTTAAAATAGAAACATGATTCATAACTGCATTGGCACGGTGGTTTGTGACCCAACACCCCTTCTCCTGTTGCTGCAGTGGGAGCGAGATTTGAAAAACCATTAGACCAAAAAGAAGACGTGAAATAAAAGTGGCAAACTCACCCATGCAGTAGTGTAAATGCAAACACAATTAAGATCAAACCCTCCCCCAATAATGGAATTGTCTTTGGAGGAGAAGGCAGAGGGGGTGATTGACCCGGGGTCCAGGTTCTGAATGCTTTTGCAGACTGGTTGGCTCCAGCAGCAATGAGTCATGGCTGTCTGTCTAGGCCAAAAGTGGTCTTATATATTATCGTGATGTTAACCACTGTTCATTCACTTACAGAGCACTGCTATTTAGCCAATCCTAATCAATCAGTCCCTGCATAGCCACTGTATACAGCAAATGGGTTGAACTTGTTATAAACATTTGACTGGAGTCAAAAGCGGCAAAATCAATCTATTTTTGACATTCTCCCTTTAAATGTGGTCATATTTAAAGAAAACGCTAGAGTGACTGAAACATTCATCAAAGGTAGAGGGAAAATGGTTCAATGAGCAACTGTGCGAGAGCTGAGATTTGTAACGACAGTAAAATCAAAAAGATTCATTCGTTTCAAGGTATCAAATAAAAAAATGTTTTCAACTTTTTTTTCCTTGCAGTATAGAAATAGTGAGATGTCTTTTTTATGTCTAAAAATAAAACAAATAAATAAATTAATTAATCTGACCTTACAAACTTCTAATGTTTACTCCCAAACCGTAAGTCGCCCAACAGTTAAATAGTGTATTGTGATGTTCATGGTATGTTTTATTTGCCTTACTTTATAAATTTTAGTGCATCTCAAAAACAAAGCAAAGGATTCACTCGGAATAGATTCATTGCAGTTCTAAAGCATTTTGTGCAACTTTTTTACATTTACAATTTGAGGGATAAAACTATGACATGTCTGTATTTAGAAAAACTATGGGGAGAAAAAAAACAGTTTTAAATTTTGTATGTATTTTGGCACTTTGTTCGGTTAACATTGAACTAACTCTACTAATATTATTAAAAATCTAGGATATAAGGGTTGTATTAATATGGCAAATTAAAATACTCCAAAAAATGGCACCACAGCAAATAAAAATGTAAAAAATGCTCTGGCGGGTCATAAAGGGTTAAGGAAGGCTGCATTGGGCTTCAAATGGGACGATCTAGTTTTATTCAGTCCTCCTGGTGTCGTGGCCAGACAAGCAATAAACCCAAATGCAAGAGCGGAGGTCAAAAACAGAATTTATTGATAACAAAAAACAGCATACAGGCTAATCACGAAGCAAAGTTTAACAATGATTTTCCATTGATTTAAAACAGGGTCAAAAATTGTAAATCTGTAACACAAACTGAAAACCTCACAGAAACTTCAAACCCACAACACTTGTCTTTGGAAGAACATACCAATCACAGTGTTTGGCCATTCAAAATAATTTGAAAAAGGCAACAAAAATATCTTTCCACTCTCTGCAAAGCACTTTGATTTGCCCATGTGTTTATCTTTATCATAGAAACAAAAACAGTCTGACTTCTGACATCTCCCTAGCAACCACATTTTACCCTAGCAACCTAACTTTCTGAACAGATTTGCTAAATGATAAAAACGTAGGGGTTGGTTTATGTAACTTACAGTGACAAAATTGTCACTGACCTCTCCTTAGCAACCAGGCTGTTTACCCTAGAAACGAGTTATGTATATCCCTTTCTCAGCAAAGGAAAATCATAGAGACTTGGGGTTGGT